ATTGATTACAGAAACCGAAATGCCTGTTGAAAAATGAGCTACAGGTACTGCAATCTTCAGTAAATTACCGGTAGTACTATTTTGCTGATTCATTCAGTGTGTTAATTTTATAATATTAATATAGTGGGTTTTTTTATAACTGTTTTTCTTTTTAAGAACTTTTAGAATAGAAAGATTCAGAATTAATGTTTAATGAATTATAAATAAAACTTGTCATTATGGTATTCAAGAGGTGATTCTATTCTCATATTTAATATAAAAAATCAGTTATTTAAAAATAATTTATCAATAGCTATAGAAATTTAAAAATTCAGTATTAATGTGTCAGGAATTGTTTTTTTAAAGATTTTGTGTTATTATAATGCATGTTGTGATAAGAATGACTCATATTGGTGTAAAGTTGCTAATTGTTTAATAATAGAAAAGAGTCTTTGTTTTTTATGCTTTGATTACCACGCCCTTTTTACTGTGTCTGTCACATGAAAGTGGTATCAAATATTGACATAAGCTTTAAGAATCAATGATTATGCCATTATAGGGTCAATCTAACCTATTTCACAATGAAACATATTTTAATTTTTCTTTGTTGAACAGATATCAGAACCAAACAGCAGCTGTTAGCCAGTTTTAATGATTATATTTTATGCAATCACCTTTTATGTACATGTATGCTGGTATAATTATCTAGTGTGAGATACAGGCATAGATTTACTTAAATACTTGTGAGTCCTAGGTCAAACTCGTTAGTGGGCCCCCTAATTTATAAATGTTGGCGTGTTTCAGTATCCAATATATGTGTGCCTATACTTATTATACAGGAACCCCATAATCCTGACCCTATATTGTAATACCTGGTGTATACTTGAAACAGGGTTATATGCTAAGTAACTAATTAGTGTCAGTGGGCCCCCTGCCCTATCCCTATTGGTTTAATCCGGCCCTGGTGAGATATTTTCAATCTAATTTCTCATTTTCTTGTTCTATTTGTTTAATACATTGTAATTGGTAAAACCCTTCTTCTCCCATGACAAAGTATCAGTTTCCTGGCTAGATGAGAGGTGAGGTTGGGTCAATTCAATTGAAACTCCAGACTTCTGATGCTGTGTAAAAGCAAATTATTTTAGTTTTTCTGTTTGTAAATACTGAAAGAAATTGAAACATTTTTGGACTGATATTCTTTTTGAGATTCTACTTTAACAATATTGTAGTGACGAGAGATTCACAATCCCTCAAATGACAATCAGCAGTTTTAATTGATGCCGCTGGCCACTGTAAATTTAAACTTAATTTTCAACACTGTATTTCATTTCCATGGATTATTTTCCGTAGAACGCTATTAACTAAAAAGATTGACATCTGAACTCTGAAGTAGGAACCATGTTGGCTAATCGGGTAAGACACTGGCTCGCTAACCTGGAAGTCGCAGGTTCGCTCCTGGTTTTGGCCAAGAAAGTTCATCAGGATTTTCTGGTGGGACAGATGTGACAGAAAACAGGGGCGTGCACATAAAATATCCCTTGGCAGTTGGAATTCGATATAAGAGTAGGCGTAGGGACACTGTCCGGGCAATATTTCCCTTATTGCACACTGTATGACGTATGCCAGACTTCCTTAGCCCAGTAGGAGTAGAACAGTGTCACATTAAACCCCATTTCAATAATTTGGAAACAGACATAGATTCGGAAACTTCTGTTAAAGATTTTATATAGGATTGACGGAAATGTCATTATGAGGAGATTACCTTCCATATGTAGATATTGGGGAATGTGATTTATGATATTAAATAATGACGACAGTGTGTAAGATCATGATATCTTGACCTTTAGTCTTGATGAACGGAAATCTCTGATTTCCTACATAATTTTCTTCCTATTAAGTATGATGCCAAATTTGATGAAAATTGTCATTACATTTCATACATGACTTCCTAATCGAATTGATATGTATTCTGACTCAAAATATTTCATTAACAGATATATCACAACAGTGTATATAAGGGTGAAGACCATTACATTAAAAATCCTCTCTCTTTGATTTAAAATTCTATTATGATAACTCAATAATTGGAAAATTAAATATTTTCTTAAGGGATGTTAATGCTTTGTTCATATGGGTGAACCATGGTGCCTGGTCTTAATCCTATTTGCCGGTATGACTTTGATTGGGACAACATTTTACACAGGAATTTGAAAAAGCTAAAACAGTGTTAAATATGATAATAAAATGTGAAATAGAATAAGGATAATCTATCAAGAAACACATAACGGTACAGTGGGATTATAAATGAAATGAAACTTAATGAACATCTATGTAGTTGTTGTAGTTAGTTTATGGAGAACAAAATAATTCATATTAATTCCAATATACTTCTTTGTTTGACTATCTGTTGGATTTTTGGCGAGATAAAATTATGAAGTTCATAATAATTTTGCATTCTTAGTTAGAATGGAAAGATTCTAAATCTTGTCTGATTGAAAGCATTATTTTATGATAGACCTACATTGGCATTCAGTAATTGAACTGGGTAAAGTTATATGATTTACTGTATATACTGTTTAAATCTGGGCGACATTTCAACTAGGATTCACTATAAAAATATTCTTGTCTGTAACAATCTTGCTTTCTTAATGTGATAAAGAGATGCCTATGTAGGACCCAAGGGCCTAGTGATCAGAATGCCAGTATTGCATATTAATTTATTAAGGCCATCTTTAAGGGCAATATTGGTGTCAGTCATTATCACATATGCGAAGAGCTGGTTAAACACATTCCAAATATAATTTTAACACAGAGATCATTGCTACGATAGCTGAGTAATAATACAGGTTTCCTGAATCGGAAGTGACGAACGCCAAAGGAAAACATGAGTGTTAAAAATATATTTGGAATGTGTTTAATTAGTTCTATCACATATGTGATAATGACTGACACCAATATTGTCCTTTAAGGCCATTAGTGGCATCTCTAATGGTTAGTAATGATAAAGTTCTGCTATTGTTGGATACATATATATGCATATACCCTATAAATTTTTAAACTGTATTAGTTCTATAATAAAGACTAAAGAATCCTGGTGGAAATTCCACTCATATGTAAACAGTAAGTGTATTCCATAGAATTGTGTCCTGTGCAAGGCTCCTGTTTTAGTCATATTTACTAGTCTTGACTGACTGGAAGTGAAATTTACCTGCTGAAGAACTGACCCGTCAATTAATTTGCATGCAAAAAATTATGATTTCAAAATTATTGTCCCCCATCTTTCGAAGAAAGCAGAGGACTGTTAAAATAAGTTTGTCTGTCTGTCTGGACAACTGTCTGTCCTGTCCGTCACACTCCTTCTAATTGAGCTAGAATGTTCAAACTTGGTGCAGCTGTTTGTTAGGCGAATGTCTTGATGGAGTTCTAGTTTGAGCATTTTCTGCTCAGGGTAAGCAGAGCTATTCAATTTGATTGGTTGATGCTTTGGGACACAATAACTTTGGTTCTAATTAAGTGATAGTTCATCACATCAATACCTTGACTTAGTTTGGTTATGAGACCATTTTCGGCTCAGGATAAGCTAAGCAATAAGCAATTGGATTGGTTCTAATCGTGTGAGAGGGATGAAAAATTTTGAGTATAGATTCATTATATCAATACACTAAATTCAATGATGAGAATCTTCTGCTTACACTAAGTAGCAATAAGCAATTTGAATGGTCAAGATTTTGTAATATAACAACGTATACATGTAGATGTTATTTAGGCGAATGTCTTGATTGAGTTTAATGGTTAATATTTCCCATTAAAGCTAAGCAGAGCTTAGCAATTTCTTTGGTCAATGCTTTGGGACATAACTTTTATATTACCAGTTACTTCAAACGCTGAGTTTGATAGTGAATATTTTATGCTTAGACTAAGCATAGTTAATCAGTTTGATTACTCGATAACTTGATAGTTTTGAAAAAGATAAATGTGCAATTAATTAACATGTCATCTGTTTATTTTGGGATTTTGGCATGGGACATCAGCTAGGGTTGGCTTGTTTAACCTTAAAACACATTCCGTTCTGTGTAAAATTATGTTTAAATATATATATATTTAAATTTAGATAATGCTAAAAAATTGTCATGTTCTTTGTAAAAGACTATCTTGCTAATCTGAAGTAATTTGAAGTGAAAACCTGGTTGTGTGTGTATTTTAAAGTGTTTGTAGATGATATAGTAAGTTTCCGAGTAAATATTGGTCTCTAACCTGTTGATTGTATTTTAAAGTATAGTATCATCTAAGTAGTAACATTATACAGCAAGTTTTCAGTGTAATATAAAGCACATCTGTTCATGAATATTATATTCATAATTATGTATATTTGATCTTTTCAACTATTCAGTACTTATAAGAAAAATATAAATTACTATTGATTTAATTTGACTTGGCCTTGTTAAGGTTTGTGTGAAGGTAACATGTTGTAAGGGAATATATAGTATAGTAAGATGATGAGGTGTATTGGCTGACGACAGGTGGACCATGTTATCAATGAGCTTTGGATGAAATGTATATTTTTCCCTCCATCTTTTCACAGTTACTTGTACTTTCAGCATTTAGTTTCTCTGGCAGTGTAAAATGTATTTATAGAAACGTGTGCTATATCTCTCAGGCTGCTAATGGAACCTTCTTTCACGTGGCTAGTTGGGCTTTGTGATAGTATGACTGTATGGTGGTGAATAGTGAAAGCATGGATCATTAAGTCTGTGCCTGGAGTATAGGAGATGTGTATACATGTATTATGAATCATTTATTTAATAGCTGGATTAATCTATTCTAATTATTTTATATAGAGCTTGTTTTCTAAACTTTGTCTGTTCACAATACAAATCACACTGGCTATATATATAAATATAGTGATAAATGGTTTGTAAACTGTACATGTGTATAAGTTATAGGCTGGTACACAGTTTTAAAAGATATACATGTACTATGGATTAATGATTGTTCATTTTCAAGAATACTTTTAACAGGTTAATGATCCTATTGTCAATTCAGAAATAATATGTATGACATCTTTAGGAGTGATGTCATAATTCATAAGTTTTTGATGTAACACTTAGTGTGAATGTTTTTCTTCAGCTTATTATAGATTGTGTGGGGTTTTTTTTGTATTCAGTACAATTCAGTGTATTGCATGTAATATTATGGATCATAATCAATTGAGATTTTATGACAAATTTGTTTCAACTTCCTTGTGTTTGGAATCGTAAAGGAAGAAGGATCATATTGTATCAACAGTATAGGATTAACAGTGTTTAGTCATATTAAGTTACAACTGTGGTACATGTATGAGAACATATATGTCCGATTCTACTAATAATAACTGTGGAATACATGTAGCTTCTGATATTACTTCTGTTGGTGGACAATGTATTGCCATAAGACAAAATATGAGGTAAAGTCACATAATGTATCATTTAACATGTCAATCATTACATTTTCTGATACTTTTTGGCCGTATGCTGAGTTCTTATCATATTCTTAAAGCTGCTGATCATCAATTGAGGGACTTTGAACCCCTTACAAACTACATCATTGTGAAAGATGAATCCCTAAAAGTAATAATGTCAGTCCAAAAATTGTTCAATTCCATTCAGTATTTACAAAGATATGATAAATTAAGAAGTTTGCAACATTCGGCATCCTCTGTAGATGATATATAAACATTTGATTGCCATCTTCTTAATCCAACTGAATTTAACGTTGATATATTGGTTTTCTTTTCTTATTTAAATGATAAATAATCCTTTTAGTACATTTTCGAGTGGATTAAACCTTTAAAATTGTCTGAAAAATGCAAATGATGATCGCAGCTTTCAGTAAAAGTCAACCGAGTACTGTATTAAGATTTAGAAGCAAAATGAACAAAACTACGTTAAAGATAGTAACTCAATGTGAAATATTCAAATTCTAAATATTAATATTTACAATCAATTATAAAGCATAAGATCCAGTCAACATTGCTTATGAAAAAAAGGTATGACTTAATTAAAATTATGAGCATGGCACAACAATTAGATTAAAAGAAAGTCATTTTCTGTTTGTAATCTCAAGTATATAAGTAAAAGTGTTTTATTTAAAATTTCTGCTTTGCACAAGGTAAAGAAAATAGATAAGAATTACAAGGTTATCAAGTAATGTGTTGTTTTTACACCTTTACTGTTGAAAGTTTGTAGATAAAAATATCACTATATGTGTCTTAGAATAAATTAAATTTAGTATAAATATTAGCCACAGGTGTAGTGCTACTTCAGCTTTAAATAACTTTTTATCTTTACTTTCTCCTCTTATCATACCTGGCTAAACTTAAAGTAGCAGCCCCAGGTTTCATAGAACAAGGAGCAGTCCCAGATCTGTGAAAATAGAATTGGGTTAACTATGTACACCAAAATATGCCAACAAAGTCTATTTACCTTTTCTGAAAATTTATAAAAAAAATCAAAATATTGAGCCATGCTGAATTGTTCATCAAATCTACATAACAAGGTTATTTAACTAGAGATTTAAGGGATTATATTCTCCAGTTGTTTGAGGGACTTGATAATCACAAAAATTATTAATGACCATTATAATAACCTAAGCAAGTGCATAGACTTTTAGGGATCCAAGAAACTATGAACAATGACACTTTTTTTGTATTGGATTTCATCATCATCATCTGTTTACTCGAATAAATCATAAACAGGAAATAATATTGATCACCCAATTTTCTATACTATTTTAGTAAATAACTCAGTATATTAATTATACTTAAAGATGGATTAGATATTAATTAAAACTGACAGCTAGTAGTCAAAAATACACCAAATTAAAATGTCTTGTGAATAGTTCATATTTTAGGCTGTTAGTGTTAAACTTTATGTAATGCCATGGCTAATCTTGCTCTGACGTCTTTTCTGAACTCTTCTGATAATATAACGGAAATGGCCTGATTTATTTTCAACAAAATATGTTGGGTCTAATTTTGTAACATTAAATATGGCTTTCAATGAATCTTGAGGACTAAATGTTGAACCTCTAAAAGATGGGTACACCCAGGAAATAAGGGTGCACAAAGACAAAAGTTAAGCCTGGAGGTGGGATGGGAGCTGGGGAGTTTGCACCTTTGCACAACCCTTCTATATCTACCCCAGTTTAATAACCTAGAAATCTAATATATTCACAACATGTATATTTAACTGAAATTTACTCTGATGAGAAAATCTTTAGATGAGGACATATTAAATTTAACTAAGACCGTATGAAAAAGTAATATCTCCATGAAATTATAATTTCTAAAATCTACTTCAAAATCTTTTAGGTACTTTGAATTTTGAGTTTGTTGGGGACTTTCCAAATTTTAGTAATTAAATATGAACTAAATGTGATATAAATTATCATTTAAAGATTTAGAGGTGATAAAAATGTGTTTGGTTTGTAGTTACTGTAAGTGCAGTGCTTGTCTGCAACTACTGAGGTTGGTAATTGGCAAGAATAACCATGTAGTCATTCGGATGGTACATGTACCGGTATATAAAACACTCCTTTTATTCCATTGGCAGCAAGTAAAAGATACCTTGACAGTTTGAAATTGAAATAAGGGTAAATCAAATTGCTGCTGTTAAAACAAATTTTCCCGAATTGCACTCCATGACGTATGACGTAACGTCGTAACTCTTTTGATGCAGAAAAGTAAGGTGTTAAACCCAACTTCATTTGCCCATTTTGTACATGAAAGTGATAGTGTATGGTTGCTTGACTAACCTCATCTTTGTAATTGGAAACAAGGTCAGTCATTAATGCAAGTGTCATGATTTCAATCCTCGACTTGAGACCTAACCTCATGGGTTTTCTCCAGCTTCTAAAGTTTTCCTTGATAACCAAATTATTGAAATAAAGATGCACCATGTGTTAGTCCCAAAATGACTTAATTTGTGGTAATTGCATCTCGGCCATCTTCTAAGTCATTAGGGGAAAATGAAATGACCAGAGATGACCTAATTTTGCTTGGACATATAATTATAAACCCCATACCTCAAATTTCATCAGAAATGTCATCAATATTACTAAAATTAGAGATTTGAAGCAACACCAAAGAGTTTATTGGTGGAAATCAAATAATTTACTACATTAGAACAAATTTGGATATTGGATATTTTGTTCATTATTGAACTGGTCATACTTGTACATGTATGTTGAAGGGTCATTATGGGAGATAAAATAAAGATTTGACAGTTCTCGCTATAATAGTTAAAAAAAATAGATAACGTAAATAGAATATGCTGAAAATGTCAGTCAAATTGCTCCATGTATCCCAATTCGCTAAATATTGCAGACTAGCGAAAGCATTGAGAGTTGATTATGGTCTGGATAAGTTAATTAATGTCTAATTAATAATTTAGATAACATTTCAGGCCTAAGAAAGACCTGCAATAAGCAGATTTAGCTCTTGCATAATCTATGTTTAAACATGTTCATTTCTTTTACAGCAAACCAGATCCAAAAGCCAAACAGATTTCCATTGGAAAGAAGAAATTCAACATGGATCCCAAAAAGGTAGAAACATTTTGAAAAACTACACACTGTGTTTGATGGGGGAGGTTTCAAACTTTTTTCATATTTGGAGGAGTTTGGGCAGTCTAATGGTGTAACACATGCTTGCTAGATCACAATGTCTGTCATTGGGTCAAGTGACATGGTTTTGATTCCCTGCATGCCAGTGACAAGGAGCAGGATCGCTTGTCCAACCTCCTGGGTTTTTATCTGGGTCCTCCAGTTTCCTCCCACAGCAAAAAAATTCTAAGTACAAGCAAATTTTTGAAATAAAATTTAACCATATGTTTGTCCCTAAATGACCTGGTTTGTGTCAAGTTAACATTAAACCCATCTCTCTCTCTCTCTCTCTCTCTCTCTCTCTCAATTTCAATGCAGTTTCAATTTGATAAAATTACTAAATTCATGAATGTAGCAATTGTTTTATATCTGTGTTAAGTTAAGAACAGCCTTCTGCTATATATTATCTTGCTGTTGAATTGAACAGATGACAAATTCTCTTCTAAATAACATTGCTGATTCAGCTTTCGTCTTTACAATGGTTTTAAAGTGAGAACAGTTTGATAAAAATTAAACAAAATACTATTAATCTGACATCTGTCTATTATACATTCAAGTGCAATTGAGTAAAAAAGAAGTTTACTGATGATATTTCCCTTATTAGTATAGAGGTGGACATTATTAATTATTATTATAGGCATGTACATTGTTAATATAGGCATGTACATTGTTAATATAGGCATGTACATAATATAGACATGTACATTGTTAATATAGGTGTGTACATACAGTGGACTCTGTCACTTCCGATATCTGAATACTATGGCATTCTGTGAAATCCTTCATCATTTTCATGTCCCGATTTATTTCTTTATTATTTCAACCAAAAAAGTTTTGAGTAGTCTGTATTCTGAATATTCTGAATTAAGACATCAATCAGCTGTACCGTAACACGATTTGCGTTGAATTATCATTGGATAATCTGGCCTTCAATCAGTGGGTGTTAACCGACAAGTAATCACCAATCAGTTATTGTTGTTGGTCTTTGTTGATTACTTGTACGTTGTAAATTTTATAATCTCTTGTTAGAGCGCTTGGTACATGTATTTCATTTGAGTTTTCCACATCAAATACAGCGACATTATAATATATATAAATTGCCAAAATGAAGAATCACTATCATTCAAATATTGTGTTCTAATGTGTGATCGTCCTGCGCCGCAAAACGAGCCCGTACGGATTTGCCATTGGATGTCAAGCCGCAAATTATAGCAGATTTTGAGGAAGTTCCATAGATGCTTCCGTGTAGACAGGAATTACCCATAATTCTTTGCGCTATCAGTATCACCATCTTGTATGGCAACCCGCGGTAACTATGTATGGTCAGAGGTCGCAGTCATGCAAAAATCTGCATTTTTCACACAATTTTTTCAAAATAAACGCAAATATTGACGGACGCTGCATAATTTACATGCGAAAAATTTCCTGGCAAGAGTATAATTAGGTTATTCTACGTTGTAGTTTGTACACTACATCATCTATTTATGTGCTTCACACGGCATTCACATTTCGCTACTGTAGTTTTTGCAGGCTTTTATATTTCCTCTTATTTCATTCATAATCGCTAAGTTCATGGCAGTACGCTTCTATACATAGCTATTCTGAGACACCCCCTATTTTGCCGCACTGGAAGCAATAAAGCACATTTTGATACAAGATTTTGGATTGGCTAGAAAACGATAAACTGTTTACATTCAGCCGATACGGTTTGCTCTTTACTTCCCATCGAAGTGAAAGATTGAAATGTCTGTGCCGTCAACCATAGATATGCCGTCAACTTTAAGTCTTCATCCAGTATTAATAAAATAAGGATGCTTAAAATAGGGTTGTTCACATAACGGTTTTACTTGCTTCTATTGAATATTTTGAGAGGCTCTAAAGTCACGCAGATGAAGAGGGCAAAAACACATAATTTTGTAATGTCTGCATATTTTTACGCAACTCGAAATTGATCCACTGCAAACTCTGTGTACGCTGTCCTTATATTAGTGCAGCACCATACAACACAAATTATCTTTTGAATGCAAAAAAAAAACCTGTTAAAACCGCTAAAAAACTATAAGAAACCATATTATAATAGGCAGTAATCAATATGTTCATTAGCTGAAACATCGTCTTATCTGTCACTCCAATCATATCTTGTGTACAAAATTACAAAATGGCTAACGAATAGCGATGTCGGTACCACTTCTTACTTCAATACACGTCGCTTCAGCAACTAACCTGTCACGCTTGATCCATATGAATAATGTGATATAAGAAATGATTTTACTCAAACTCTAAATTTGAAGACATCAACAGAATGACGCACAAGTGGTTTGTACGCGCCCGAAGTAAAAACATAATAATTTTATGTAATAAAATTTTGAATGTACAGAAAGATTTATTATCATATTTTAAGTTCTTGGTATTCGAAGGTGCATTAAAATAATACTTCTGGTATTCGAGGTACAATAATACTTCTGTTATTGAGACAACTGAGTATTCCGTCATGCTGTATAATGCAACATATTATATCGATCCCGTACGATGTCGAAACTGACAGAATCCACTGTAAATGTGTGTACATTATTATAACACATGACTCTGGCGATATTTTGATACACATGTAGATGTGCACATAATTAATACACATGTGACTTACACATTATTAATACACATGTAAAAGTGAATATTAATAGTTTAATACACATTGATTTGTGCATTATTAATACACATGTAGATGTGTACATTACTGTAGATGATTTATAAACTTTTTGATGTGCACATTATTATGAAATTAGCAAAAAACATGACAGCTGCATATACATGGCCTCAGTTCTTTAAGTTTGAAGTTTGGCCCACATTTCCAGGGTACTTTGAGCATGTAAATTTAGTTTTCATTATAGAAATTTGAAGAAGACCATTCAGTGTACATGTAGGATGCATGTTAGTTGACTTTCTTTTACAGACTTGTATAAATGTAATGAGTTCTTGTTATCTACAAACAACATCTGTTGCCATATTGGAAAAAAAACCTACACCTCAGACTAACTATTATTCATATTAAAGAGACTAATAATAGTTCAACTTAGAAATCTTAGGGTGTACTGTAGTTGTTATGTTTTGTTCTTTTGAAACCGTAAAACTCTAAAATGATATTTTGGATTTGGATATATCCAAATATGCAAGAAGAAGGTACATGTATGATGAAAGTTGTACTCTGTTCTGTTGGCCTTCTACGATATGGTTTATTGTGGAATCAAATGTTAGATATGACTATTTTACACAGACATTCTAGTCTAGATATGAAAACAAATGATAATGCCTCAACAAGCCAGATCATTAACATTCATATCGAAAGTTGAAAATATGTAATTAAATTTAAAGAATATTGTTATTATGTATTCTTGTACATACATGTATGTACCATAATAATGATAATGTATTTATATAGCGCCTATTATCCAGTAAACTGCTCAATGGCAGTTGTCTGTCACAGAAATTGATGTTATATATTGAAGTAAAGAGACGAGTGTTACTGTTACCTGCATTTTGCAAGGTCCTAAACCTATATTACATGTAAACCTTTATACCGTCAAATTCTGGGAGTATCCCTTTTATTATACTCCCACATTTTCATGTGAACGTATATTGTTGTCGCCCCTGTCCGTCCGTCCACAATTGTTTGTGAACAGTCTACAGGTCACAATTTTTATCCGATTTCAATGAAACTTGAAATATAGGTTTATCACCCTAAGATCTTGCTTCCTCTTGATATTGGCATGTATCGGACTGTAACTTCATGAATTATGGCCCCTGATTGTACGAAAAATCACGTTTTTAGCTGGGGGGGGGGGGGGTGGATGGCTGAATGGTTAGCATGTGCGCGCTGTACCATAAAGTCTGTCAATGAGTCAATTGGCGTGGTTTCGATTCCCCGGTTGTACGTGACATGGAGTAGGGTCGCCTGTCCAACCTCGTGGGTTTTCTCCAGGTCCTCTGGTTTCCTCCCACTGCTAAAGACCCCTACGCGCAAGCGAATTATTGAAATAAAATTAAAACCATATGTTAGTCCCGAAATGACCTTGTTTGTGTCGAGTGGACGTTAAGCCCCATCTCTCTCTCTTTCACATTTTTAGCTTGTGAACACTGTAGAGGTCACAATTTTTATCCGATTTTGTTTAAACTTGAAATGTATTTTTATAACCCAAAGATCTCGGTTCCTTTCGATATTCGCGCATATCGGACTGTAACTTCCTGAATTATGGCCCCTGATTGTACGAAAAATCGAGTTTTTAGCTTGTGGACATTATAGAGGTCATAATTTTTATCCGATTTAAAAAACCGTTGTAGTATATCACCGTTTTATCCTAAGGATGGCTGAGTTCGAATATGGTATATCAAGGTTGTAGACGCAATAGAGGTCACAATTTTTATCCGATTTTGTTGAACTTGAAATGTAAGTTTATAACCCAAAGATCTTGGTTCCTTTCGATATTTGCGCATATCGAATTGTAATTTCCGGAAATATGGCCCTTGATTGTAGGGAAAATCACTTTCTTTTTAGCTTGTTCTCTATCCATCTCTCGAAAATGTGGGCGTATCCTGCCTGGCAGCCGCTGGTATTTATACTCCCAACATTAATATTTTAGTAGGATACAATTTAATACACATACATGTTTTGTTTTATTAATGGCATACTTCATTTGCTTTCCATCTGATACTTTCATGGTATCACAGGTGTAATGTACATTAAGTTTGAATCAATGTGTGGAGCATGACTTGTTACTCTTCTATTACCTTGACAAAATTCACAGTTCGGTGGAAAAATATATTTTGAGCCACATACTACTGGGTTCAAAGGTTCATCCTTTTAAAAAATAACTACATAACGAAAATAACAAGTAACTGTAATGACAAACATAAAATCACATCGGGTTAGGTAGGCTATTGTACACATA